AAAGAAACCTGATCAAAGTCCTGGACCAGAGTTTGAGGACCCTGGCTGGCCAACAGCAAGGGGAGCTTGCACGTGCCAGGCTTTGAAAGACGACTGCTTCCGCCAATTCAGGCTAAAGGCTCGAACAGTAGACCAGCATGCCCTCCTAGCTACCCCCAAATAAGCTGGTACTTTACAAATCCTCAATAGGCCTGTCTTCATCAGCTCAATTTTGCCAAATAACCTGCTATTTTAACTATCCCAATCGCAAATTAGCCACTTAATTTGCGCTTCATCAGCCCGAAGTTGCATTTTAACTATTTTAACTATCCCAATCGCAAATTAGCCAGTTAATTTGCGCTTCATCAGCCCGAAGTTGCAATTAGCGGGATATTTGGTCGAGATAATCATCCCAAGACATCTAGGTCATGTTTCCAAAATATCCCGGTATTTTGGAGTAGCGGGCTAATTTGCACCCGAGGTAGTTTGTGATGAGCATAAAGACGCAATTTCGAGCTTCGGGATAATATCCTGAGTCTGAAAAAAGCAGGTTATTTGGCAAACTCGAGCTGATGAAGACATACCTATAGTATGGTGGCATACATGTATACTGTTTTCACACTTGCAAAAATTTGCTTAACCCTGTACTATAGGTGGGGTTAAGGGGGGTCTTAGCCCCACCTATAGTCTGGGGTTAAGCCTATTACACTTTTTGTTCAGACTGGCTTTTACCAAAGTGGGCTCAAGTTGGCTAACCCCACCTATAGTACGGGGTTAACTAACCCTGCAAAATAGCAGGGCTAACTCCGCAATTGTGGTGCTAACTCCTGCTAACCCCGCAATTGCGGTGCCAAGCAAATGAATGAGAACAGAAATGAAAAATAGTCCGGTACTACGCAATGGAGCGTATCGCAGCTGGCCAGATGCGAATTATGTCCAATCATAACATTCACGATATCCGTGTGTGAAAAGCCAAAAAAAACAGTCTGGGATTAAGGATAGTACGGGGCTAAGCAAAGTACGGGGTTAAGCAAAACCAGTGTGAAAAGAGTAATAGAGGTGTCATAGTCAAGTGGTCTAATCACTCAACTGGAAATGCAAAGGTCGTGGGTTCAATCCAAGCATAGTACTTACTGTATATGTCCTGGAGCAAGGCACATGTCAAAATTAGAATAATAGGTCGGTGAAAGTTTGACACATACATTTTAAATATTTTGTAGATGAGATCAGTAAATAGACATGAATGTCAATCTAATATAGGCAAAATGTTCAGTTGGCTTCCCATATTCAATGACAACTCTCTCATTCGATATATCATAAACTTCTCTTTTTTTTCTTCTCTGACGTAACTTGATATTCTGAATTGTACTTGAGGGGATCGTGGCATTGTACTTCATGTCCTCAAATAAGAATGTTGTGAGAGTGAATTACGAGTGGATTGAGAGTGAATTGAGAGTGAGTTGAGAGTGAGTTGAGAGTGGAGTGAGAGTGGAGTGGGAGTGGAGTGAGAGTGGGCTGAGAGTGAGTTGAGAGAGGAGTGAGAGTGAATTAAGAGTGGATTGAGAGTGAGTTGAGAATGGATTGAAAGAGGAGTGAGAGTGGAGTGAGAGTGGAGTGAGAGTGGAGTGAGAGTGGGTTGAGAGTGGATTGAGAGTGGAGTGAGAGTGGGTTGAGAGTGGGTTAAGAGTGGATTAAGAGTGGAGTGAGAGAGGATTCAGAGAGGATTCAGAGTGGAATGAGAGTGGAATGAGAGTAGAATAGGAGTGGATTGAGAGTGAATTGAGAGTGGAGTGAGAGTGGGTTGAGAGTGGGTTAAGAGTGGATTAAGAGTGGAGTGAGAGAGGATTCAGAGTGGAATGAGAGTGGAATAGGAGTGGATTGAGAGTGGAGTGAGAGTGGAGTGAGAGTGGAGTGAGAGAGGAGCAAGAGTGAATCAAGGATGTGTGTTGATCCTTAGGAGCAAGGAAGTGAAGTGAAGACGGAATATAGCCTTCAAGTTCACATCATACCAAGAGGCCTGTCATCACCAGGGAAGGGTAAGAGTAAGGGTTTGGAAAGAGGGAGCATGGGGCACGCATCCAAAATCAGGCCATACAGCACAGCTAGATAATCATCAACAGCAATCCACTTCATATTGCCCCCTTGAAGTATAGCCCTTTGCGACCCACCAAATACAATAAGATGTTCTTGGTCTAAGGATAAGGCTATCCAATTAATAACATTGCATATTAAAGGAAGGAACTTACAGACTTACTGTAGCTGAGATTAACTTTACAAAGTTTTAATATTTAAAAAAATATTAATGGAAACAGATGAAGTTGCAAAGAAGCAACAAACATATCTCTCTTAAATGATTACAATAAGTATGTATGCTACAAGTCAATAGTTTAAAATTGGTCTACATTTTGAAATCTCTTAAAGAGACAGTTAATACACTGCAGGTTAGTCATTTCAGGATTTTTCGTACTACATTGATCACATATTGTTCTTCACATTGGCAACAATAATATTTTCTTTTATTGCTTTATTGTTGAAATAAAACACAAAGTCTCTGAAAACAATATACATGGTCAGAATTAATGTCGAAAAGTTGATCAAAAATGTGAACCTTACAATGTTTTTGCCAATTTAAGGATTTTAAAGCTTTTTTCATTTTGAAATTTCCTGGCATTAAGCAAAATATGGTCTTGAAACAAAAAATGGATGCAGTGTGAGCAGAAAATGTTGTCCTTTCCACTCATGCATCTGGCATATTTTTTAGAGCTCTGAATCAAAAGCTATTAAGGCAAACCACAAAATGTGGAACGATTGCCGTGAAGGAGTTAGAAAAGACTCTAGATCTGTTTAATTTAGCTGTATCATCCTCACCCCACCCCCGAGGACCAATGCGGAGAGAGAAGGCATCAGCCATCAAGGAAACAGAAAGACGTTCTAATGAAAGATGATTGAAGGACAGGCACCGGCAGAGGAAAGGGGACGGCTGGCTTCAGGCCAGATTATGCCCCGGTGAAATTAGTCAAGAACTGGAAGAGGAAAGTCTTAAAGGTGTTCGTCTGATATCTTGGTAGAATATCATCTCTGGTTCTGCAAGTTTTATTCAGCAAATAAATACCTTGTATCTACAGGTACATCATACTCGACATATTCATATGAGACAAAAGGTTTCAATTTTGAAACAAAGTAAGCAAACTAGTCAGAAGAAAACTACATGCATAAGAAATGTTGTGGTCTAGTGGAACAGTCATTAGACTATAGATCACAAGGTATGGGATTTAAAGCCTTGCAACTTCCCCAACATCTTATATGTCAAGACATTAATCTACATTTGTCACATTCGTGCCCGAGGGTTAAGATGGGTACCTGGCAGGGTTCAATGGCAGCTAGTTCCAGGCCAGAATATGAGATTAGTGAGAAGGAAAAAAAGAAAGGGAAGGTTCTTAAAGGTGTTCATCTGTTTTTATTCGTAAACTATTAATTCTGGTGCAACAGGTTTCATTTGGCAAAGTAATTTACTTAAATCATACTTCATCCATATTTTACCTATTAATGACAATTGCAGTGCAAGAGAAAGAAACTACTCAGAAATGAATATCAACTTGTTGGATTGTAAAGGGATAACTTTAGCAGGGCATCCATTTTCCAGATTTGATCCAGCGAGGGTTTATCGAGATCAGATCATTGACTGTTTTTTCATTTGGTTGCTTCCTTAACCCATTTTTTCCTCCACTCTGGTTAAAGCAGCAATAAATCATATGAAAACAATGAAACTTGTGCATAAAGACCACTCAAGGGAGGCAGGAGAAGTGGTCTTTATAGGTGTGTCATCTTTTTCTGCAGGTTTTGAAGCACATGTTTAAATTACAAACCATTTTCAAGGGAACAAAAAAAGTGGTCTTTATAGACAGGTGGTCACTAAAGCAGGTTTGACTGTATAAAGACAACTTAAGGGAAACAAGAAAAATGGTTGTTATAGGCAGATGGTGTTTTTATAAAGGTTTTTTTAGTTTTCAATGAGAAAAAATGTGGTCTCTATAGACAGGGGGTCTTTTTATAAGCAAGTGGTCGCTAAAGCAGGTTCGACTTCATTAACCTTGGCGATTGGTTAACAAAGTGGTTAATTGACTTATTGGCTGAATAATCCAAAAAATGCCATTGATTTGCTCTAGGAACATGCTTTTAGGATGTCAATAAATATAGACATTCTAGATACCAAACACGTACACCTTGCAATCTCATCATTGGGAAATACACGCCTTCTCAATATTACATACATGTGATACAATCATAACTGTCAAATTCAATAGACCTTCTTTTCTCACGACATTGCAATTGTCAAGATGAATTATCTGAAGCCAAGCTAGCTACATGTAGATATGCAGTTTGGGCATAACTGAACATACTGTAATGCCATAACTTCCACTGGCCTATAACCTGCAAAAGAGGGAGACATACACATCTACAGATGGTTAAATGAAAGTGCCATTTTCACAGAGGCAGTATACCAGACTCCAATTTACATTTACATTTGGCCAGAGGGAGCAATTGCAAAATACAAATATCTCTGATTGGTTTCAGAAACACAGGAAGAAAAAATACAAAACCTAACTAACATATTCTTGGTCACGTTTACGCATCTCAAAGTAACTATTAATGAACAAACTTGATCAATTCAATATTTTCATGTTTCAAATCAGCCTTCATGTATAGACAAAGAACCTATGTTACAGTGCTCTCTTTTGGAAAAAAGGTTTTTTATATATATATTAACCCTCTGAACTACTTCATTCTCTAATTTCAAAAGACGTAACACAGGGAACATCAGGATTCCATAGGTGATAGATTAGATTTCTATTTGATATATATATAGTGAGGCGGGAGCAAAAAACTATTTCAAAGATCTCTCTCTCTCTCTCTAAAACTCTGGGTATTGAAATATTTGAGAAGGACAATAAATGAGGGAATAATATTTGGTGAAAAGCACAATATTAGTAGAAATGGTAAATCTTTAGTTCTAGACCCAAACAGGCTTCTAGTGTCCTAAAGGATAAAAGCACTAATCACCTGTCCCTTGGACAGAACTCAAACCCTAAGCCCTCAAGATCTTATTTACAAATACATACACAGCATACAACACATTCATAGTACTTTGGCGAAAAGAAACAATCAAACACACAGTTTAACACTGACCTCTTTTTGATTCATCTTCCCAAGCTTTCCTGGCAGTAGATCCAGGTCATGCAAGAAAGGATTGGCAGTGTCTTCCACCGGTGTGAAGGGATTGGGTGACCTGCTTCTTCTGGGACCATGCACATCTTGGTTGTCAGGGGTAAGACTAGGAGACCAAGGATCATTGTAGGTCGGGAAGGCATCTACTTGGAGCTGGGACTTTCCCTGATATGGGAACGGCCCGGAATTGGTACTGTTTGAGGTAGGATCATTTTGAAAGTGGAACGGACTGTTCCCTCGGGAAAGGTTCCCTTCTTGGTTATCAGGGTTAAGACTAGGACTCCAAGGATCACTGCGACCGCTGACGGCCTCTCCTTGGAGCTGGGATGTTCCAAGAAATGGGAATGAACTTGAATCATATTGAGGGTGAAATGGCCTGGATGGCTCATCCTGGAAAGGACTTAAAGCCTTCTGCAGGGATGAGCGGAAACTGTCCTCTGATGAAAACGGATTAAACAAGGGGGCTGAAAGATCAAGTGCCAGCGTTTTTGCTCCTTTTTGATCTGCAACCTCTTTGGTATTCTTACACGGAGCCCATGGATCTTGCCCAGACTCATCCACTTCCTTTCCTCTTTCTTTGTCAGCGTCCACCTTGGCACGGACTCCCCAGCGACCCGATCCTTGCATGGAAAACATATCCTCGACACCGGATTCCTGTGACTTCTCAATCCAATGTGATTGTTCAAAGGTTGGACCTCTTGATGCCCGAGGATCGCTTGTTGATTGGTCTTGGAAAGACAGCTGTTTTTTGGTGTCTTCTGGTGACCAAGGATCCCATGGGCCTTCGGCTAAGTCTGGTAAAAAGTCTACTTCAACATGTACCTTTGCGTTTGAAAGCCCTATTCCCTGCTCGTCAATCTCAGGAACTGCCCCCGATGTACGGTAGGAATGGAACTGCATACCACTTTGATCTTCAGACCGGGTGCGTGTCTCTTCTTCAGGGTTGGTTGATTCCTGGTCACCTGATGACTGGAGAGTCTCTCCATCTGGTGATGGGTCTTCCATGATGAATGATGAGGACCACAGGTCATCCTCTTCTGCTGTGACTGAAAATGAAAATTAAACAAGATGAATGCATACCTGCCAACATTTGAAAATGAGAATTAAGAATTTTTAGCACGGTATGTCTTCGAAAATAAGAAATCTGTACCCGTAACAGGCGTTCGCACATGCAGCGGCAGTAACTGGCAATACGCGGTAAATCTGTGCAAAAAAGTGAATACAAATTCGCTCAATCATGCAGCCCTTCAACGCATGCAATACGTGAACTCTCACATCGCGGCATGTGATAAAACAAGCCTAATTTGGCTTAAGCAACAACAACAAAAAACAAAAAAACAAAAAAACAAAAACAAAATCGAAATTTTGAAAATCTGGGATCTCCCGCATTTTGGGGTCCTAAAAATCCAGAAAAACGGGATATTCCGGATTATTCAGGAGGGTTGGCAGATATGTGAATGTGCCTGCATCTCCAATATGCCTCTGCAAACATGTAATGTTCCTTCATCAAGAATACCTGAGCCATGATTGGTTTGAATTCTTCAATACTTTGTAACAAGATATTTTTGGTATTTTTAACACTTTCATGACCCTGTAACCTGTGGCCTTTGACTTCTTACTTAACAAATCTAATCATGTCATCCTTGCATGCTAATACATACTTCATCCAAGTTTTGTTAAATCTGTTCAATGATTCTCAAGTTACCACGGTAACAAAAAGGACACAAACAGGACACAAACTCTCGACCTCTGTTAAGTACTTCATAAACAAGGTGACTCTTCATACCACAGCTGAAAACATTTAACGGTCCTGAGCATATCTGACTCCAAGATTCTTACCTCCTACAGCTTTGAAGTTGTTATCCATGAATCCAGTCTTGAAGATCACATCGGTATGGCTCAGGGATCCAAAGTCATCACCAAAACCATCACCAAAACCATCACCAAAACCGCTCTCTGCAGTCTCGTCTGCACGGTTGCTGTTGTTGGTGTTGTTTCCCCAACTGGACATTCTAGAACTCGGGTCATCCGCAACATGGTTTGTTGGGACATCCTCCTGTGTCTTTGAAAGATATATCTCGGGGAAGTCTGATGACTCACCATATGTTGCAGCAACATCATGTGTTGTATTGGATGTTGCGATTGGAAGATCATTCGTGGCAAGCTCAGGAAACATAACGTCTAGTTTGACGGGTTGCATTGGTTCACACACATCACTAAATGGAATCACTTCATCAGAAGGGGCTGCAGAGGGGGCAACGGGCGGAGCAAAAGGGTTGCCGGGACTACTGGCCCTCGCAGGAAGACTAAAGGGGTTATGAGGAGATGGGCAGTTCCGCCTAGGGACTGAATGATAAATAGCAACATTACAAGCTTTATATACATGTATTTCATAGTGATATAACAGTTCTGAAACTACCAACAAAACTTTTGACAACAACTAAATTGACTCTTGCAAAAATATTTGGAAGACATTACAGCAGGACCTTATTTCTGTGATTACATTCCTGCTGTATGTATACATGTATATGTTTCAGCCATTGCTGCATGAACAAAATAGGCTTCTCACTACTTTGTTCATGAGAAGCTTACATGTGCACACAAAATTGAGATGCCCTGAAACATCATTAAATATAAAAGCAAGCACAGATAGAACAAGGCTCCATCTCTTTTGAAACTTCTACTTATTTTTCTTCTCTCTCTCTAAATAATAGTAATAATAACAACATGTCTTCTTCACCCAAGCAAGCCTCATCAGTATTAATAGTGTTCTCCCTGAGGGCACTGCAATCATATTATTATCGGGCTTTAGCCGAGCTACCATGGAAAGGTGCTCAAGCATTCAAGAAATTTCTTTTTACCAGGTACCCTTTTTGTACACTTGGGTAGTCCAGATTCTGTCTGTTTTTATATATCTTGTTTGATTCTTCAATCTTCTTTGTCCTCCTCCCTTACACACTCCCCACACAGCACAGATTCTCTACCTATGGTCCCCACTGATCGTGCACCCCACCCTCACCCCACCCCCCCCCCCCCCAATCTGGAGCATTTTCAAGCACCTTTGGTATCGAAAGGGTTAATCTTGAGTCTACATCTTTGATCTTAATAAACCGCTCAACTTTTTTGATGATTGAACAATGGCCATCCCTCAGTCAACCTGAGGATTTAGGTACCTACCTCCCTGTTCCTCTGGGTGAGTACTGAAAGGGTTTGTAGAGGCACTTGGGGTTAAACTGTCAGCCATTTTGTAATTGTTACATCTCCATCTCAATCATATTCATCATCTGAAAAATAGAAAATGGATGAATCCATCAATTTAGTGTCTTCAAGTCCAAGGTGATTGGTCGTTTGATGTCCCATGACATGACCAAGTATTATGCTATATTCAACAAAATTGACGTTAAAGACCTTGTCCGAAGTGAAAAATGAAAAGAAAAAATTATATATCAATAAAAAGCTTGTGAGCCATAGATGACTATAATCAATTATATGCTATTTTAGTGTCTGTCAGAGGAGTAACAACTCTCTGAAAAATCAAAATCTAAAGCTTTGAAAATTTGAAGTTGTTGACCTCAAAACTGGCTATCTTATCTGGAGTATGCACATTCACAATGAATTCACATTAATTAAGCACAGCTTATTGCCTCAGCTACAGAGGCGAGCCAGTTGGGTCCACTGTCCACATAAGATGTTATCACCATATTTGCTGCAAATTTGACCCCTGTTGATCTGTCTTTTGGAGGGGTGCGTAAAATGAGGTTTAAATTCGCTTTTGTGCAATACAGAAAGGAAAGCTATATTCAATTCCTTAATATTAATAATTCAGCTTTCCATTGATATAAAGTTGTATTTTCATCAGATAGGCTCGTTAATAGTATTGTTTTAATTGATATTCCCTTCTTTAAAAAAAAGATTAATACAACTGTAATTATGCTTAGCACCTTTCTGGTATTAAATCACATGACAAGATCGTAAACTACACATACATGCAATACTCCTTGACAACAACAAAATTCATATAGGGAAAAGTTGGTCTGTTTCCTTTCACAAAAATAGTACCTTATATTTTCTAACAATAAATATTACTGTGGCAAACAATTTTGCCTTTCTACAATAGGCCATTTTCATAACATAATGAAATTTAAAGCACAAATCTTTGTTAAAGATGAAGTTGAGTTCTGGTCATGCGATTGTACTGTGAAAGAAACAAGGTGGAATCGACCAGAAAAGGTTGATCATCTAGCATATAAGAATTTGTGTGTATTGCAAGGTTCTAGAGAATCATCAAAATGATAAGAAATTTGGTAAAGTTACAAACACTGTACACAGAAAGATGTATATGGGACTACACGAACACGTGGCGTAAAAATCCTACCTACCCCCCCCCCCCCCCCCCCCCCCCCCCCCCGAGTTTAAAGATAAACTCCAGTACTGGTAAAAAAAAAAATAATAATTCTCGCAGAATCAAACGAAACTTACACTGAATGTTCAAGATTACAAATAAATAACATATGTGCCAAACAATTTTGGAAGAAAATGTATACTGGCTGAGTAATGAGCATAGAAAGACAAGGAAATCAAGGTAGTACTAGCCCCGACACCATGTGTGTTGTCCCATATATAGCTTTCTATGTGAGTGCTTGTTACTTTACCAAGACTCGGTCAAATTTATTATGATTTTGATGACTCAAGAACCTTGCAGTGCACACCAATACTTACATGCTACATGATCAACTGTTTCTGATCCTTTCCACACCTTTTCTTTCACAATGCAATCGCATTACCAGTACTAAAGTTTATCTTTAACGATGTTACTGACATATTTAGAATATAAAGGCATTTGAAGAGCCATGCTCTTCAGGGAACATGTCTTATCTGATGATCTTCCACACTTGCATAATAAGAATTATTACGCTCACAAATTATTTTTCACCTCTTCCCAGAACTCAACCTTCTCTTTAAGTGCCTTGTTACAAATTATTTCATTCACCTGCTGTTAGGCAGGACAATCAACAATGTTTGTCTTACCTAATTAATGTATCAGCAATTGGCATTCTGACTATTGAAATAAAATAATTTGTAACAGGTGAATGAAATAATTTGTAACCAGGAACTTAATGCATTAAATTTGATTACATTACGAAAATGGTTTATTACCAGCAATTTTCTGCCTCTGGTGTTTGTTTCGTTTCCCTCTAAATTCCATCTCATTCTCAATCATGTAGATGGAGTAATTTTATGACAGCTTTAAGAGCAAACGTCACTTCTATTTTGGTAAAAAGGTGTGCGCTCATCATAGACACCACTGTGGCACTTCGCATGCAATCACAATATTGGAATTCTTGAACTTTAACATGTACTTAACATCCTTCAAATTGACATAGTGATAAAGCTAAATAAATAGTTCCCTTAGTCTCTTATCATTAATTATTTGCCATGCTTTCTGTAATACCGATCACTGTGTTATTGTCAATAAACTGACAAGCTTTGTTATTTTCAAGTAAAATGGAAATTCTTCCAAGTTATTTTAACAAGAAAAGGAAATCACTAAATATTTTGTCAGTGCTTTTCAACTATTCATTTTCAGTAATAATTTATCTCCATCTAAAGACAGGCATATCTTGGCCAAAAGCTTATTGAATTAAAGGGGAAGTCCACCCTGAAATTAAGTTAGTTTTAATAGGAGTAGAAAAATGAGAGAAACAAGTCAGTGAAAGTTTGAGCAAATTCCGATTAAAAATAAGGAAGTTAGGATTTTTGAAGTTGTGATCAATCAAACTCAAATTGGCAACTCTATGACGTATCATGCGAGCTCAACTTCCATTTGCTCAGTATTAAAAAAATCTAAATTTTTTATTTTCCCTCAAGAAAAATTTCAACCATACATGCACCCTAAATATAATAATTGCAAATATGTTTCTATACTCCCCCTGCAAGGAACAAATATATATTCCGTCATCAATAACGAAGAAAACATGATTTTATGGAATATTATGCACAAAGCAAATGAAGGAGAGCTCGTATAATAAGTCACAGAGTTGCCAATTTGTATTTGATTGATCACAACTTCAATAATTCATAACTTTCTTATTTTCATTCAGAATTTGCTCAAACTTTCACTCACCTGATTTTCTTATTATTCTGCCTCTATCGAAACAAACTTATTTTGGGGGTGGACTTTCCCTTTAAAGTCAAGTACATGTAGATAGACAGTAATCATATCAAACATGTGTAGTGTAATTTCCAAAATAATTATCTAAAGAGGGAAGGGGGATGGAGAGGGGAGGCTGTTTTGTCACCTGGACAAACTTTAGTTAGCTATAATCATGTGGAAGATGGTACGGACTTCATATATTTCACAATCAATGATGGATACCCCCCCCCCCCAGCAAAATACAATGTGCCTGTGGCATATATTTCAAAAGTATGTGCCCCTAATTGTGCAGCTCCCTCCTACCCCCCCCCCCCCCCCCCCCCCCCACCACCACCATTAGCAAACTCTGACCACTAAAAGCAAATTGGAAAATATAAAATATGTCTTCACCTTTTCTTCCTGCTTGTCAAAAAAAATGAAAATATAAGGGAGTTGAAAACCACATATCATAGATTTGGGGGCTAGTGTTATGACTGAAGGTGCTTTTCCCTTGGGTTTATATGTTAAATCATTTGAAGCTTACGGACTTGTTTCATGTAGCTGTTTTTTAAAAGCCATTTTTCCCTCCTTTTAACTTTTAACAGCTTGCAGATGGGTGGGGTTAAAAGGAGGAAAAAATGGATTTTTAAAAAACAGCTACATGAAACAAGTACATCTAAGCCTGGAATTATTTCACATATACCCAAGGGAAAAGCACCTACAGTCTGTAGTATACCTAGATATTGATTTAGGTCTGACCCGTAGCTGTATTGATTGATAAACATTATCATATAACCAGCTGTGGCAGATGGAGGTAAAAGGTTTTATTGACAGACCAGTATGCACTACTTAAAATATGAACACAACTCGTACGTGGTTGATAATTAATCTATACATAATTCCATACTGACAAGAAATATCATGTCTCTCTTTTCTAGTCTCTGTGATGGGGGTACAAAATTATTAGCAAAAAAGCAGCATTCTATCTTTTATAATATGAACACAACTCCCACATATTGTATAAATAATTTAAATCTGTCACTCCATTATCTATGTTCCATACTAATGTAAAATGCCATGTCTTTCTTTTTTAGTCTCTGTGGTGGAGGTTAGAGGTATTATTGACAAAGCAGCATATATTTCACCCTATACATTGTATATTATTAATGCAACTCATACATGTACATGATATACACATTGATACACACTTTGTCTCTCTTCACTGGTTGTCATATCTTCCTTTTTTCATGTCTCTCCTGATTTTATCTCACCTTTATATCTCTAAAAATTTGTCCCGTGATTGTACACACCATCCCTTTCATAATTTGTAGTAGGAGATCAGTTGAAGTGTTTCAAAATAATCTTATAAATTTATATCTTTAATTCTGCATATAACTAATTCTTCTGTTATTTCTGTATGTTCTTTCTTACTTCTGTTCCTTTGTTTGTAATGCAGATGCATTTATGTGATCTCTTTATATCACATCACATCTATATTGAACTGTCATTTTCATGTTACAAGTATAATCTTGTATATTCTTGTACTATATGAATTCCTTCTAAATCCAACATTGCACTTTGATTTACACATATCTATGTATCTAGGAATAATTGATTTTAAAATAATTGGCTTTGTATAGTATACTGCATTCTAATGATATATAAACTAATTTCAGCGAAATATTTGTTATCAATTATCTTTTTTGGTTTAATCGATGATCTTATCTTATGACCATTTTAAAGTTGTAAAGATTGTACAATTAGTCCCTGGACTTTGTTTCGTTAATAAACCACATTGAACCTAATTTAGATTAATTAAATTGAATGGCCCTGTCTATCATGCAGGGACAAGCTGGGGGTGACATCATGCCACAATCTGGGAGGTCTGACGACTTCTGCCTATGCCCAGTAAGCAATGTGTGTACGTTTTCATTGCACATTTGAGCATACAAACTGCAACATCTAGCATGAAAGTGATGAAACAGTGTCGGAAATAACCTAAGTTATAGTTTACGGGTATCACACAAATTAAAGCATTTTATGAGACATAATCTTTTACCCCAATCGTTGACCGACATCACCTTGCAATTAATATAGAATTAAACAAATAGGGATTTGGTTTTCATTATTATAT